GCCGATACCCACCATGGGTTGCTTGTGTGGGCCGCTTCATTCGTAGACTCAGTCGTTTATCGGCAAAGCTGTAGTAATATAACAGTCGGTATCAGCCTCGGTGGCGGTCTGTAGAAAGGGCCGGCGACTTTGCATGCAATTATATGAGGTATGATGTAATCTGACGGTTGAGGTTGCGGTCAGCTTGCTCAGACATATGAATTGAGCTCGAGTCGGAGATGCATGGTGAATGAACTTCCTGCAACGCGTTGGACACTACATGCAGCTCTAGGTGTCCAGCCGACTGAGTAGCTCACTGCGATAAAAAAATCTGGAGCTAACGACAAAATGAACGGAAGCCCGGACGAGCTCAGCTGCAGGCTGCGGATTGACCGGCTGCCATGGTTGTCCGCTCTTCAGGTGGCCGAGGGCTACTGCCAAAAAACGTGCAATGGTAAGCAGTCCTGAAGTCCACGTCGCCACCCGTTTACTACTAGCTTCAAAGCCGCCCAGAGCAACACTGCAACTTCTTCAAGCTCTGCGGTGCCAGATCTGGAATTAATCTCTGTGCAGTGACGTGCAACTCTTGCCATTTGTTCGCCCATTTTGCAATCATCATATTTGAGTGTCCGACTGAACTACTGGTCGACCAACTTTGAGGCCCAGATCAGCTGTGTTTGGCAGTAGCCTTATATCGGTACGGCGGAGTGCCATCGCTCATGAAGCTAAGTACCAGCTTATGCGTACTGTCCTGCAGCTTTTCAGCTTTTGAGCTGAATTAGGTTGCGCGTCGACCGAAAATCTACCACCCCCCACTTTTATCTTGTTAGACCACGTGGTCCAGGAAACCCTGGTTTCGGCAGTGGTTTGCAGCAAACCCTCCACATCTGTGCGCCCTATTTCACCCAATTCTGCACCAAAATGCTCAATTCAAAGCACATGGGCAATGGCCATGAGTGGTGGCAATTGCCGACAAGGCTTCTTTGAGCAGAAAAGATGCCGATTTGATAGATATAGGCGACACAATCACCTCAGTGTTGCAAACCTTCTACAAACCCAGATTTATGAAAAGCAGGCCTCTGATTGGCTGAAAAACCTGGGATGACCTCGGAGGTTTTCGGTCGACGCGCAACCTTATTTGAATTCCAGATTCACTGGCAGGCTATCAGGGCCCAGGCTAGCTGATCAGTGAGCTGAGCCTCGGCTAAGCTTCTCTTGATTAATAGTTCTACCTACTCGGTCAGTGCCACACTGCCTCCATGTTGACATTCCGTACCTACTTTGCATAGTGGCGTGCCTCATCTCCAAATCAAGTACTACTGTTACCCCGTACCTACGCTGAAGAGTGCAGATCTGGGTACGGTATTATTGGTTGCTAGCTAGTCTGCGGCTGATTCAAGTCGACTACCGGAACCTATGACTATGTATTTAACAGTCACTCGTGATCAAACGACTGTGTCACGACTCACAAGTCACGGGCAACAAACGGCCGTCAAACGAAGTTGTGGCGATTCGCCACGCGCGCATGGCCACGTTTAAAGTTCCAGCCGTCGATAACCTTCAAAGGGTAGTCGCGAGTCGTCGATCGATCATCATGACAACAGTCACATGAAACTTTCCGCGGCAGGGCTGACGTGAGCAGTTCGACGGTACTCGAGGATCACCGCTGCCCAGCCGCGCAGCACAGATTATAGCATTGGAAGCTGCCAATGCCATGCATCTAAATCGCCGTCCCCTACACTGAGATCGTCGCTTGCGTTTTCAGAGCTTTTAAGGAGAAGGAAGCTAGCCGAGGGGCCGCTCCTGTTGGAAAGCCTCGACCTGTTGATCAAAAGCAGCGCTTGCGCAGAACGTCGGAAACGAACACCTCCTCAGCGTCTAATGTCAGCAGGCGCATTGTCACGTTGCGTAGAAAGCTGCAGCGATCCTTGGAACGTGCCAGCTGTAGATTTAGAGTCGATGCTTGTCTTCAGATCCTCGCTGTTGGAAGGGCGAAGCGGCGACTTCTTTCAGGGGGAATGCCGTGGCTTGTGAAAGGCAACAGGTGGCGATCAATGCTGAAGTGAAGCAACTAATGCTGAGGGGGCAAGGAAGAGGCGTGGATTAGGCCCAGCAAAGGTCTTCCTTTTGCAGCATGCGCGCATGAGTTGTGGCTTTTTCTCTGGTTGTTGCTTTCAGGTGTATACAGTCCCCGATTATCATGCCTGTGGGCTAGGTCCCCCCTCAAGAGCAGACCTTGGTGCATTCATTCATTAGATCTTTTCACGGGATAGACAGAATGAGGACCACTCAGGCTGGGGGGCTGCCCGCCGCAATGGGGGGCGAGAACCAGTCCTCCGCTCACCCGGGGAGGCTTCGCCGTGCGACCTCCATCAGCGGCCGCTTCTCCATTTCCCCAGACAGTAGCAGTGCGGACTTGCAGACGCTCGGACGGGGATGCAGCAGCGCATCCGCCAGCGGACGGTCCTCTTTGTCCGGAGACCCGCAAACCGAACCGAGCGAGTGGCTGGCCAAGGGGGATCTGACCAAGCCCCTGCTAAATGAGGTCTCGGCTGCGCTTGGAAAAGAGGCCAAAGGGGGACTGCCAAAGCGGGATTCTAGTCCGGGGGTGCCCGAGAAGGGGGGAAAAGGGGAGGGGAAGAAGGGGAGTCACAAAGCAGTGTGCAGTTCTCTGCTGGCAATCGTGGTGTGCTTGATTCTGGTGTTGGAGTTGGCGGGGGGGTGGTTTGGGGCCATCCGCAGCACTGTGCAGGTGAGGGGGGGATGTGAATTTTTGTCTAAGAGGGAGAAAAGACACTACAAAATGCTGCTTTCATTCGTTTGTGGGTTAGGAAGTGGTCTTGGTAGTGAGTATGGAAAATTGGGTGCGTCTAGAATGTTGATGAGCAAAAGACAATGTTCCTGGTGTCCGAAAAAGATGTCAAAGGCCACGCTTGGACTGCTGTTCCGAACAAGCACAAAACGAGCGCAAAGCTGATTGTAGATTCCAATAGCTCGTTCCTGGGCATTCAGAGACAAAGTTGCAGAGGCACGGTTGTCATTGGTGCAAGAAGATGTCAATCTGACCAATGCATGCATGCTTCAGGACTGACCAGAAAAGCAGCATTGGCCATCAGGGATTTGACACCTTCTTCAGCTCTGCATAGGACCACTTTGAAGGAAATGCTGCTGTTGTCACTGAGCCTTCCTCACTGCACAGCAGATCCTGACAGCTGTGCAGAGCGCAGCCAAAGCAATCGCATTGCGACGGTCCTGACACCGCCCCGCCTTTGCATGCAGACAACTGTCCTGGTGTCAATTTCGACTGACCACTACCTGACCCCAGCTGGCGCCATGCAGTTTACCCGGTATGGCCCGAAGGTGAGGCACAGCAATGCTTGTTATCAACCCCGGTCTCAAGCATCTAATGGATAAATGGAAGGAGCCCAGCTGAATTCGTGGAAATAGGATCATTGATACACGGTCAAATTCAAGTTGGGCACTAAGACAGCTGTCTGCCTGTCTCGCTGCCTGAGAAGCTAGCTTGAAAAGCTACACCCATGTGTCTTTAAAAAAGAAACTGAGATCTGAGATTCGTGACACAGCTGTTCAGCTGTGACAGCTGGCAACTTCTTAGAGGTACTAAGATCTCGATCACTTTTAGCTTTTTCCGGAAGCTTAAAGTTGGCTTCCCACACGTTTTGCAGACGAAGAAGCAGGACGGCACCCTCTGGATGGATCCCCCGAGCGAAGGGTACAAGCAGTGCATTGATTCGGACTCCGTTGAAGAGAGTGAGCAGTGCACCAAATTGCTTTCTCGTTATTTGACACCTGCAGCTCCCTGAGGGAGGTCTGACTCGTTTCTACTTTTTGCGGTCAAGGATTGGAAATGATAGTGCAATCGCATTTCAGATCACACTTGTCAAAAGAGTTCCTGCTTAACAAAGCAAAGTGCGGTAAGGCCTTCTGTTCGGTTCTCTGTGATTACGGAAAGGAATCATGTCGTTCGTTCGGAAGGTGACAGCTGTCAGGCATTCTAGAGCGCCTCCCTGAAACTGACCATGACTTTTTGAACATCCTATTTGACTCCTTTCGGAAGACACCTATTGATTGCTGACGGAAGACAGGCCCTGTAGTTCACAGCTGTCGCTCCAAAGCTGAGAGGGACAACGGAAGTCCGTTGACTAAGCTGAAAGCAGTTCAACTCACGTTGTGCTGTGAAGCTGACTTTTGTTTGCGACGAACTCTGGCGTGACTTGCTCTTTTGCCCGCAGGCACACCAACAGCATCAGAAGGGTACCTTCGCGTGTCGACAAACGGCGGGCTCAACCAGATGAGGGCAGCGGTGAGGAACACCTGTCTCTTGTTCAATCTCGTCCAACGGCACCCAGTGCAAACGTTTCTCAGCTTGCTAGCACAACGGGAGTGTCTTCTTACCGTGTATCAGTTCGCTTGCAAGCAGTTTGTATTTAGCGAGACCATTGTCTCAGGTCGAATGGAGGCGCGATACTCATTCGAAAGATAAGGCCCTGGATCTGCGATTGTTCGTTGCGTTGCGTTTCGCCCATGATTCTCAAAAAAAGTTTGCAGCCAACATTCTTTAGAAAGCTTGCGCACTGCATTCTTCCTCACGTCAGCCGCGGAAGCTCGACGAGCGACGGAGAGTATATTCAGCAACTGAACTCGAGTCGGTCAAGTCCATGTCCTAAAGTCTTCTTCAAACCCCCCGCTAGACGTGCGAGCACCTGTCCCTCATCCGTCCAGCTCAGAATCGTTACTCCGATGACATCACTCAATGCCTCTGCTGACGTCATCCTTCCCTCGCAGATCTGCGACATGGTGGCGGTGGCGCGCATCCTGAACGTGACGCTCGTCATCCCGGAGCTGGACAAGACGTCGTACTGGAACGACCCGAGCGACTTCGGGGACATCTTCGACGAGGAACATTTCGTTCGGACGCTCTCGGACCACGTGCGTGTCGTCCGGGAGCTGCCGGACGGGCTCAAGAACGTGACGGCGTTTCGGAAGGCGCCCGTTTCGTGGTCGCAGGTGGGTAACTTGCGCTGCAATAAGCGACTATGAGACCTTCTCATTGGGCGCTTTTGAAATCACGTCTCAATCGAATTGAGCTGCCGGACGGGCTCAGAACGGCCGTGGGCCTCGGGCTGCGCTGCGAAAGCAAAGACCGACCAGTTGGAAGTAAATAGGAACGACTTTTTCCATGAAGCAGACGGCAAACCGGTCTGAAAGCGAGCTAGAAAAGGAATAAACGGCATCAAGGCGACAAGAAGTCAGGACAAGGTCTTGACGGATTCGTCGACCCACCCTCCTCGGCGCCCCCTCTCAGAAGCTACGAGACCGCAGAACGCCGGGTTGACGTTGTTTCTGACATTCAGGAGGACGGCCGTCCCAAAGGTAGATTCAGTCAGAGCTCCTCCGTTTTCAGCGCAGGCAGAGAGCTCTCCCAATACACACAAACTTCCATCAAGTTCTTCGCTGTGCCACTCGCCACCACGGTTCGACTTACATCGTCCCCGCCCTCTTCGTTTTTCAGGCGACCTACTACCTAGAGGAGATCGCGCCGCTGGTCGCCGAGCACAAGGTGGTCCACTTCACGCTCTCCGACAGCCGGCTGGGCAACAACGGCATTCCCGACGACATCCAACGGCTGAGATGCCGCGCCAACTTCCGGGCCCTGCGGTTCAGCCGTCCGATCGAAGAGATGGCGGCCAAGATCGTCGCGCGGCTGCGCGAGAACGGGCCCTACATCGCGCTGCACCTCAGGTGAGCGCCAGGGTTTTGCACAAACCCTAAAGCAGCCGAAGCCGCGGCCGCGCGAAAGGGGAGCTGCGGCGCCTTTTGCCAGCGATTTGACCGCAGTTGCTTGGGAAATATGGCGCAGTCTATGTTCCTCGGGTAGTGCAGCCGGAAAGGAAGAGTGACTTAGAGTTGCATCCTCATGGAACCCAGCGAGTCGTTTGGCTTTGTTGGCTGAATGGGACATAGATGGCGCCACTTCAACGGGGCTCGAAGTCGCTTTTCCTTTGATCAATCTGGTTACCAACCTAACCCGTTTCCTGCTGAGGTTCCGTACTTTGACTTTCGCTCTCTTCCCCCCAAATTAGGCTAACCGATCCTTGACCCCGATTCCTCTGGGTACGAAAAGGACATGCTCGCCTTCAGCCGCTGCAACTTGAGGCTCATCCCTGACTCCACGCCCTCCAAACCCCTTAGTTTAGCCATCCAAACCACCTGAGATGAGCTAACCCTGTCCTAACCCCCAGGTACGAGAAGGACATGCTCGCGTTCAGCGGCTGCAACTTCGGGCTCACCCCGCTGGAGGCCGCGGAGCTGCGCGAGGCGCGCTACAACGTGTCGCACTGGAAGGAAAAGGAGATCGACAGCGACGCGCGCCGCGCGGCCGGGGTTTGCCCGCTGACGCCGCGCGAGGTCGGCCAAATGCTGCGCGCGTTAGGGTTCCCGCGCGAAACGCCGGTCTACGTGGCGGCCGGCGAGATCTACGGCGGGGAGGAGCGGATGGCGAACCTGAAGGAGATGTTCCCCAACGTGGTGAGCGGGGTTAACGGCTGGTTTGAAACAGGGGTTACGGGTTTGTCTCGGTGTTCATTTTGAGATGATGCGAAAGAGGTGCTAACCGATGTGGTGAGTAAGGTTGAGAGTTTTTCAGAGAAGGGTTCTAAGGGTCCGTTTCGGGGTTATTTTTGAGTTGATGCGAAAGACGTGTGGTGAGTGGGGGCGTGAGCCGGGCTGAAAACGGTTTGCGGCTCTGGTTTGGGTTTGCTTTTGAGATGATATTAACGGCAAAATTTAACGAGGCGATCAAAGGTTTGAGGCTCGAATGTATAAAGCATAGAAGTACTTGATGATTCTTCCTTTGCATAGAGTGGCTCAATGGCAGCAAAAACTAGTTCTGTCAAGCCAGAGTATCTTAGCAAAGTCTTCTTACGCCCTCAGGTGTCTCTAACCCCCTGAACGTTCCACCGCACATAATTCAGTCAAATCCACCAAACTCTCTGTGACTTGACGAAGAAACGGTGACGAGCAAGGACGGATGATATTCATTCCAGGCGCAAAACGAAGATTTACATGGCTGCTTTCCATGTTTCCAGTCGCTAACCCAAAAGTCGCTTCCGCAGGTTACGAAGGAAACCCTGGCGAGCGAGGACGAGATGGAGCCGTTCGAGGGGCACTCGAACCGCATGGCGGCGATCGACTATCTGGTGTCAGTGGAAAGTGACGTCTTCCTGCCGACGTATGACGGCAACATGGCGCGCGTCGTGGAGGGCCACCGCCGCTTCGAGGGGCACCGCAAGACCATCGTCCCAGACAGGTGAGGGGGGGGGGGAATATTTGAAAGTTTATTGCGGGGGAGTGCTTCGGGGACTTTCGCAAGGCTTTTGCGAGCGTTCTGAGGATTGGGAGGCTAAAGAGAGTTCTTGAGGATTACGTGACTCTTGGGTTATGCGTATGCTTTGGTTCAGACGTTTTGCGAGCGAGAGGTTGCCGCACGACAAACTTCGCAGTTGGCGCGGGCCGAGGGATAAAACGAAAAACACCTTTATAAGATGTGATGAAAAGCGTTTGTAAGGGATGGGCTGCCGTTGACTCTTTGAACTTCGACCTGGCGTAACAGTTGCAATGAGCGGAGGGGAGCGCGTTGTCAGGATTTCGAAGAAAAGGCATCAGAGCAATGGCGTGGTTGCAGCTTCGAATTCTTCCGTTTAAGCAGTCGGCGGCACTTAGTGAGGCCCAGTACGAGAGCCATACACAATTGACGATCCGAGTCGAGGGCGCCAAGAAAGTACGCAAACTGCTTCTCAGACGAAATGAGTCGAACTTGTGTCAGAAGGTCACTCATAAGCTGGCGTTTTGATCCGTCAAATCGTGTCCGCAGGGCTGGCCTGGTCAAGCTGTTCGACAGATACACCAACGGCACCGTCGATTGGCGCCACGTGGAAACGGAAGTGCGGAGATTGCACCGCGACAGAGAAGGCGCGCCGCTGCTGCGGAGAGGGCTCCCCCCAGAGGAAGTTAAGAAGGAGGTTACGTTCTACGCTAACCCTTACCCGGGGTGCATTTGCCAGGACGACGGTGCGAAAATCGGGGTTAAGAGCAGAAAGGTTCAGTCGCACTGACGTATATACGCGGATTCTTTAGATTGTGCGCGTATGCGGAATTCACCCGCGTATGGAAAAGGTGGCTGCTAGTATAACTACTAGTTTACGGGCTTGTGTTTCGAAGAATTACCTGTGTTGAGATCGAAGTGCGAGCAATAATCAGACAGATACTGAGGCTTTATAACCGATGCATGCAAGAGACAGCGATATACTTAGCACATTAAGGAGACGGACTGCGCTTGCCAAAAGAAAGGCGACGACACAGGGCGGTGACGCTGGTGCTTGTCGCCACTTAATTAGCAAAGTAGGTTGACGAAATAAGCGGTTTGGTTAGCTTCTTGCTAATATACACAGCATCAGCAGCGCAAGCGAAAGAGAGACGGTTCGTTTTCTTTACTAGGTACTTTACTGTATACGAAAAGCTTTTGATTCGTCAGAAAGGTAGTAAGCGTTACTCGACGGCGACAGAGATTAACTAGCATACGAATCGGGTACGACACATGGCTCTGATTGCAAAACTGACACCTTCCGGCGAATCTGCGAATGTGAAAGCAATGTGCCATTTGAGACCAGAAGTCCGCCTGCATGATGATCGGACTCCGGGACTCGGCCCGAGCTGGAACGCATGGCAATAAAACTCTGCAATATCGCGTCGTTTAGATGTATTGATCATATGTTATACACTCCCGTCTATAAGATCAGCTTATGCAGCAATCCTGCATGAGATTTGACGCTTCCACTTGGGTAGTAACGACTTGTGTAAGCTTAACCCGCGCCCTTAACCAATCAGCACTCTATTCAAGAACAAACGTTCTGTCCATATGTGCCCTCAGGGCAAGCCAGGATTCATGGATGAGAATGTTGCCACTGCAAGACGCAAAGGGTACTAACGCCAAACTGATAAGGTGATTGTATCACGCATGGGACCCTTAGACAGCAGCGGGAAACAATTGCGTTGCATTTATGAAGGCTTATAAACGCACGCGTGTCGCTCTCCCACGACATCAAAACCCAACAAAACTCCGCCGCGCCGGGCGACCTTGATGCAGCGCCATGCATTTAAACCTGAAGGAATCGGTATTGGTGCTTTACGAGCGACGGTGCGCTTTCTCTGGTAGAGCAGGGGTCGAATGAGCAGGGGTCGAATGGGCCAGATAGCAGTACTGGATGAAAGAGATTTGATAAATAGAGATTGCTTGACTTCCAGTTCAGAAGCGGGGTACGACAGAACCGCTATGTCTTGCAGAAATTTGCCTGGGGGCACGACAAGCTTATGTTCCTTGAGCTTGTCGCCCCATCACGACATCTAGGAGTCAAAAGCTTAGCGCAGATTTTCGCCCCCCCACAAGAATGAAAATAAATAGAACATGTTGTCGCACCCCCACGACAAATCGAAGTCAACAGAACAAGTACTTGACGCCCCCTCATAACAACATCATTCGGTATGAAACAGGTTGTCCGCCCCACACGACGATCAATTGAGTCGAGAGAACAGATTGTCGCCTCCCAGGGGGACCAAACACCCCAGGTAAGGAAGTTAGCAACATGAACCATGTGCCAGCAGCTGAACGGCTAAATTTTCTAAGGATAGGCGCCCGGGAGACGGGTAGGATTGGTATGGTGGTTAGGGTGGGTTCAGGTGCGGAGCGGGTGCTTATTCTGGGTTAAAGTTTTTCATTTGTTTGCCCGGGTACCTCAGATCTTAAGTGAAATGGCTCCTAAGTGAAATGGGAGTTACCAGTATGGTTGTCCAATCACACCCCCACAACAACCAACGACGACAGGAATAAGTTGTCGCCCCCTCGTACTATTCTACATCCGGCTGTCGGCCCCCCACGGCATCACGAAGAAAAAATCTGTTGCACCTATGCGAATCGCTGACTGGGGTAATGTGCAACTTGCTTGGTCCAGGTTTTGACTTTGAGGGGGCGACCAAGAGCAATTTTCCATTGAAGGGGGTCGGCGAATAATCTATGCTAATGCCTGTCAAATCTCAGCAGACTTTCACGCGCCCCTTCGAACAAACGCACCGCAACGCTTCGCTTGTCGCACCGGTGCGACAGCTTGTGATCCAAAAGATAGGGAATTACCACTATGTATGATTTTGGATTTCAAACAGGGGTGCGAAATAGAAACCCACTTCGCGCGATTTTTGGCCTGCCCAAGCAAACTGTTGAGGGGGGCCGACAAACTGTTGGTCTTCCTCTAAGATCAGTGGCGACAGTATGTCTTTTCCCCCTTAAAGTCCGGTTGTCTTCTGGGGGCGGCAGACCTTTTCGCTTACCCTTGAACAAACACTTCAGGGGGGCGCAAAGCTTGTCGCACCAGTGCGACAAAGTGCTATTCCCCGAAAAGTACAGCAATCCGTCTTTTCCTTGATTTGAAAACGGGCCGGGAGTATCAGCAAGGGGCTTGGCAAGCTTGTAACTCTGTCTGCCCCCCCGAAAAGTGCGAGAATCTGTCACACCCTGCAGCGTCCTCACCTAGTGACGCTAGGTGTTTTGACCAGATTCGAATGGGAACCGCCGATCTTTGCGAATACTTTTATGGGGGCCATGACCTGTTCATCAATCTGCGTCTTGTCGTCCCCCTACAATATTCAAAGTCGACGTATGTATTGTTACCCCCCCAAACAAATTCAAGTTCAGCGGCAAAAATTTGTCGCACCGATGCGACAACTCTGAGATGGGCTCTCTGAAACGACGTGTACATTTGATTTTGGCGAGGCGCAAATTGACGCAGGGCCCGGACAAAATGGTCATTCTCGCCTGGAAATTCCCTTGTCGTACCGGTGCGACAGGCCGGAAAACTTCGGCAATGCACATGCACATGAAAGGCTCAACTTGCGTGACATGACATGGCCTCAATCTCATTCCTTCGGCAACAAGAAACCTCTTGGCTCTTGTACACCTTTTCGCGCCCCATTCTGAGCAAACCCTTCAGAGGAAGGGGCCGCCGCATGGTTTTGCTTGTCATACCGGTGCGACAAACTGTTCCTTGGTTCTGCATCTGCGGCGCACTGGGGGGACAACAAAACTATCGGCTTGCCCGGGGGGCACACGGCAGGTTACAGATTTGGCGCGCAACCACGACATTCAAACGAGTTGTCGCACCGGTGCGACAATTGCAGGGCTCTCAAACAAAGGCCGTGCCTTCCTGCGCAATTTATTGTCGTGGCCCAAAAAACTGGACTTCGGGGGTCGACAATCGGAGATGCCCGAGGTTGCTCCCCTAAGAACTCTGCAGGGGGCACGACAAGCCAACGAAGTTCAAAACCTGTTGCCCCCCTACGACAAAAAGTCCGACAAGTTTCATGTGTCGCCCCCCCAGTTCAGAAGTCATTATCAGCATCACAATTAAATTAGGAACCGGTGCGGAAAGCTACTACCCGTCTCTTTCGGGGGGGACGACGCGCGCAATCGATAAGCGTTACAAGTCAGCTAGGCGTCCATTCTGCGCCCGGGTTCTTCTTCACCTAAGGTGGCTGCAAAAGAAGCGGGCCGGGCCGGTGTGTGACGATAGCGGAATTGCGTTGGCGGCCGCACAGAAGACGTTTGCGCACAGCCGGTTCAGTTCGTGAGCTCGATTGTTTTGCGTGGGCCGGCACGACACTGTTCTGCCGTCCCCCTGGATATAGAACTCACTTAGCTCTAGAACGACTCTCTCCCAATAGGAGAAACTTAGGAGAAAGCTATTTATTGCATCGTGTCGACTGTATCGGTGAGACAGATTGACCTGCAACATGAGCGAGTTGCTCCAACGGGGGCGTCGGACAGGGTTTGAGTGAACCCGATTGTCATAACACCCGATCTTGCGCACCGTCATCGTACAGGGCAGTGCATCTCAAGCCCCGCGGCCTTCCGGTTTGAGTCTGACTCGGAGCTGTCCCAATCCTGGGCAGTGCACCATCATGCAACAGTCTGCACCATCGTTGCAATGATGATATCGTATGCCATCATATGCACGTCGTGCCCGTGATCATTCATATTGCTCCATCGGGCACGTGCATTCCAAAGTACGTCGGGTGTTGTCAGTGACCGTCCCGGCGGCACATAGTGGACAGCACAATGCAGGTAATCAAAATGGAACGGAAGTGGTCGGATAAGTTTTTGACGGTCGAGGTGAGCTGCATGTGACTCAGGTCGACAATCGTGGGCGTCCGCGTCAATACATGGCTCAGTGCCTGTGATAAGCTGATCCTTGTGTGAGCTGACCGTCCCCAAGCTAAGTTACAACAATCGGGCTTTAAGTATTCATCTTACAGGGGTTGCACGTAAACGATCTTAGCAACTCAGGACCAAAAAGCGTGTGCGTAAACTGCAAGAGTAAATTCTGGCATTCGTTACTCAATGGGTTTGCCATCAATCTCCGGTCCGTTTCCGATCAATGTTTTGATCACTAGCTTGAATCCACTCGTCATATGAAAATCAGCAGGGCTGCACAAGCAGGCTCTCGAGCTCAATTTGATTCGGGGAAACTATTGATTGACCGTTTGAGGCCAGTCTCAGTCAACTCTTTGAACTTATCTTGTTACATCTGTCACGAATATCCTAATAGCGGCCATCGAGCCGCCAAGACTACACTAAGTTTCAGCCAAACTTGATTGACAAGTTGCACGGCCGACCCCAGTATGACTAGCTCTCAATCTTTGGTAAGGATGTTGCAGATTTCGACACACTCGGAGAGACTGTGGAAACAACAAAAGACAGTGGGTGAAGTCAGGCATGCAGCGAAAGAGTATATTAACGAACGAAGAGCGACAGGTAAAACAAAGCGCTGACAAGACGGACTTTTCGACGTTCCGCACATCCACACCGATTAAAGAAGTCATTCGCTAGCAAAGTGTACGTACAGTAACAATACAGGGGGTGGAATCATGCACGTCGAGGGAATATGGGACTCGAAGCGGGATGCAGACACGGGTCAACAAGCAGACCGCTTTGCCGTTAGCTGGACGAGACAGGACCGACGTTTTCTCGTCCACGAAAGACTGCACTGATCCGTCACAGCGAGAAAGAGAAAGAACCTTGGTCGACTGTTTTATGCGGGCGCAGCAACGAACCTTCCCAAACGATAGAGTTTTCTCCACCCACTGTATTGGATGCAAGAACGAAGGAGTGGAACAGCATGTAAAGTAAAGAGATTACTTGGAACACCGTACGGACATTCATGACGGAGAAGCTCGTATCAAATATCCTGCATCCACCAGCGACGCTAGTCGCCAGCTAAAAGTGAGTGAGGGAAAAGCTCTGACGAAACAATTTACAAAGCCGAGGAGAACAAGCTGAGAGCATCGAGGCTGACCAGTATTGCCGGCTCCTGAAGCCCTCTTTGAAGACGACCAGCGGTTTTCGTACGTTTAGGGGCCCCTCTGTCCCCGGTCCCCCGGCTCCTCCCCGAACGCACGTCGAGACGCACTTCCTAGCACAGGTTTCGGACTCAGCCGACTTCGGTTTCATGCGTTTCCGAGGGGCATCGTCACCTGTAGAGAAACGAGAAGTTTGGGAAACCACTTCGATGGAACAGCAAGTACTGGTTTTGTCAACTTGCGCACTTCAACGATGAATTTCCCACTGCTTAGGACATTTAGAGGTTGTTTCTTCTCCGCGTTTCGTCCTTTCTTCTCCGGACTGCGCAGGCTGTTCAATCAATTGGCAGTGTCACTTTGCAAAGCGATCGGCAAGAAGAAGCATTGCTCCTGCCGGTTTGTTTGTTCCCCGAACTTCAAGTGGCTCTCTAGGTCTATCAGCGGGCCCTCCCAAGAAGAAATCTGTCTGGCAAAAATCAACGAGAAAACCATGCAAACTCAATCACAAAGTCTTTCTGCACCGCCGAGTTCTTTAGGTGCAGACTCGCTTTTGCCTTGTATGTCCCAAACGGATTGACTGACTGTGCAGAATAACAAGGAACTGATCAAGAAACGACCAAAAGAAGCAAATATTGAAAGGCAAAGCACATTGGCTCCGTTTATGCCCAACGCCACCTGGTTTTTGGGTGTGCATAGTGACTGGGGCTCAGTGTGGGACGACAAAGGCAGCTGACTTCTTTGAATGCACAAACAGCCCTGACAACTGTCCTCACAGCAGTGCATAGAGTTTGTAGAGGCCCAACTGAAGCCCCAAAGGCACAAGCTACCTTCTAAATCTATCTCCAAGCATTCTCAAGGCATCAAAGCACCGACTCTTACGACCTGAGGTTACAACAAAAGCCCTCATCGAGCAGAAGGCCTGCTAGAAAGTTTGGGACCCTGGCTCTAGTTGAGAAGAGCTGACCAATGAGCCAAGTCTATGGGGAGATCTATAGCCTTAACAAAGAAAAGAAGCGGGGAATGTAGTAGCAGGAAGGGAACCAGCCTTGGCATCTCCAAGTGCGGATTTCTTATTTTTCATCACAAGAGCATATTGGAGATCAAATCTAATCCTCTTACCACCACTCGACCTTGCTCAGCCAAAGTTCCTCAAGCGATCATCAGCAGTGGCAATGAATTCTTGTGTCAGCAAGTGCACCCTGCTTACCTGATGATGACAGTGACCGGGGAACATTCTCAAAAGTATCCCCGGTGAAGGGCGCCTGCTGCGCCCCCAGCGCAACTGCCAGCACAACCCCGAGCAGGCTTTGGAAAGCGCTCCTTCGAGAAGCCACCCACCGTTCTTGGCTGCTACTTTTTGAAGATAAAGTTTTACAGCACTCTCTTGTGTTGCCCCCGCTATTTTCCGCAGCTGGTCTTTGACTGAAGTGCGAACATTGACGCCAAATGCCATGACATTTCGATCTGCATTTGTGGCGGACAGTAATTCCTACATTTTCTGATCCTGAATAGGTTGAAGGCAGCCTTCTCTCAAAGTAGTCCAAATCCACTCGACAAGGCGTTTGTCTGTGCAAGCTGGTTGGTGATCTCAATGTTGCGCCAGAGGCATTGGACGTTGACAGATGAGTGGTGTGGCTAAGAAGCGTTCCTTGCAGTCTAGTTCTTGCTGGACGTCTCTTGGCCAGTAGGTTCACGAGCCCTTGGTCTGTGCTTTGCAGACAATCAGCTGAAGGTGACTTCGCCAGGTATGAGGCTGTCCAATGGCTGCATTGGCGGCTATGCAAATCTGCTGCGCCCTGCATTCTCTTGCTGTTTGGAGTTCCGTAACAGTCGTTCAGAACTGACTAAGACTTCAACGGTTGCTTTGTCGACGATTACAAACCTGGCGGCTCAACCACCACCAATGCTGTGTCTGCGGTCAGCAAGAAACCAAACAGCCTGGGATTTTTGACTCTTTGACTCTTTGACTTGAAGTTGAAAGTTTGAGCACCCCCTGCCTGAGTGCTATTTGCTTTAGAATTCATACCACGTGATCACTTGGATCCAATCAACCAGTGCCACGTGGCAGGGTACTCTCTTCAAACTTCGACTGTAGTCTGTTACATACGACAGGCTTCTTTGTCATCCGTTGGGCATGTTTCTTCAGACAATCGAACCACTAGTGTAACTTAATGGCAAGCTTCCAATGCAACTTTGTGACTGCGCGTCGGCCTCGTAAAGCTGATGCACTAGACTAGCTTCCAAGTCACTTTGCTTCAACATAGCATGTGCAATTGGAACCTTCCGCTTTGATACTTTGACGGACTGTTCCCAAAGTGGCACTTTTGGTTGAGGCAGAAACGGTCTTGAGTCCCTTCTTTCCTTGAGTCGTGATACCATTTGGCACAGCGGGGCCTTGAGCCAAATTTCACCGCCTCGTTTCAGACACACATACATTGCACCGACATGATCCACCGCACCACAAGTCTATGGATGAGCCCAGTTTTACATGCTGTTCGGTATGGTACTCAATATATTTTCGACTTTTTCAGGGTTTTTCGTTACGGCAATATCATGTAGCACGATCAGCTGCACGTTCAGTCAATACGCCGATCTTGGGAGAAGATTATTCGACCTTCATTGCAGAGCGCTTGTATGCAATGATCCGCATCATCAGGCTGTGTCTGGGCTCCGGGATACAGTATGAGCAGCAGTGACGATGCCTCCGAAAAATAGCACGCCGATGGCTCCCCTGCCACACCCACAAGGGTGGCCCCAGGGCCACGCTAGAGCCAGATACGGCTTGCAACCAGCGTACAAACCTTCACGCTTGTCTGTGGCCGACAGTCAAGGATATGACACGAGAACCTTCCGGCTGATCACACAAGCGAAACAACTTGTGCAAAAGTGAATATTGAACAGTTCGAGAGTACAGATCAGTAGAAGAAGCCCAGCACCTTTCCTCCCATGTTCTTTCTCCTGGCTTCGTCGTGATCCATGATGCCGGCAGAGGTGGTCAGGACGATGTAGCCAAACTGCACAGAGAAATGGTTGTATGCTCATGACGTGCCCCCCTTGAACATTCTTAGTTCAGACACGAAAGCCTGGGTATCACCACGGAACCTGTGATACGTTCGATTAGTCATGACCGGACTGCTCTGTCCAGAGATAATTTCTAGTTCCGTCGGTGCTTGAAGGAAAGTGCTCCAAGACACGAAACAGAGTGCCAGGCTGAAACACTGGGCTAAAAACGTCTACAAAAATGAAGAGGAGATCAAGGACGAAGCAGTAAACGTCCATACCGGTATGCTAAGCTAAAGTATATCAACACCGCGAAGAGAAGTGCCGCTCGAAATAGCTTTTGAAGAAAACCATCTCAAGAAACGGAGATCCCGACCTGTCTTGAGGGGAGGAGTCTGGCGGTCCAGGCCTCGAGCTCGCCCACAGCAATGTTGTACCGGGGGCTGATGACCCCAGTCTTGTTTAGCCGCCCAGTCAGCTCCACCACGATCTTGCCGCCCCGGTGGTCATCAACCAGCTCAAACTCGCCAATGTATCCTGGAGGAGACGAAAGCGAGACGGATGACCGACAACACCACAAAGGATGAATGTTCGAACAGAAGTGCAAAAAACGAAATGAAAGAACAGATGGAATTCATGTTTGAACATGAAGTGCACGAAAGAAATGCAGTCTAAGTCGAGTCATTTCAAAAGCACAATTCGTGTTACCTGTCCCCATACCTGTCCGCACATCATGAGTTTGCGGCCCGTGCTCTACTTTCGAGAAGGGTTAAATCAGAATGATAACAGAATCCAGTCTGAACAATCAAGCCGCTCATCAATCAAGACATACAAATTTTCGCACACTAAAGAAGCAGCAGAAACATCGCACCAATTGATTCAAAACAAGTGGCCACTTGAAAACACGATCCCAAAGATTACTCAAGAGCGGCGGCGGCCCTGAAAAGCTCAGAGAAGGACCAGTGTATCGATCACGGTTGATCAGCAGCAGAACTGGCTTATACTGGTTTTATCTCATCACTGCTCTAGGCGCATCAAGATGACAGACGCATCAAGCGGCTAGAAACACCAACTGCTTGAGGCAAAGCACCTAGAAACACAAACTGCTTGAGGAACACTAAGATGCATGATTCAGAACTTGAAAGAACCAGAATAAACAGGAGTCCTCCGTCAAGAAAGGTGCATTACAAAGGGCGTTTCAGGAACACAGCCGGGCCAGAGTTCACCCAGTTGTTCTGATAGAACACTCGGTGCACAGCGATTGATATCAAAGCATCGGACGACGAGGTCTACACTTTGAGAGGCGGGAGGACTCACCGTGCTTCTGCATCACCGACAGGAACTTGATGATGACCTTGGAGGAGGGCTTGATCAGCACCTGCCTCTTGCCCCGCTTCTCCGCGTTGAACATGCTCTTGAGAGCATCGTTGAGCACGCTGATGCGCACCATGGTGCCAGGCGGGGCTGCAAGAGAACCAAATGAAGTACAATTCAATTTCCAGTGCTGTCCGCACGAAGAGTCCACGGTGAGAGGGAGGGCATTGGAAGTGAGCGGAATCGTCCATTTGCTGTTTTGAAAAGAAGAGTTATAGTGGTCATTGGCGAAGTCCAAATCAACCATCAAAGAATGAGCTCTCTGAATTATGACGAGTGCCTATCCCTCGTCCATGCTGGCCAGCAGCTAATATCACCAGTGCCCTTTCCAGCCAGCAAGGCCCCCTCAGGAGGCTGCATGATCTGACCAAGCCATGGGTAAGGCTTCCGGACAACTGCTCTACCACATAGAAAGCCAGTGTTGACAAAGGCCTATGCAGAACAAGGTCGGAAGGCCCCCAACGGGCACGGTACAACTCCGGCGTAAGAAGCCAGTACAATTACTGTATCTGCAGCCAAAGAAATGCTATGGAAAGACGACTGATCCGGGAACTGGTAGCTAGTTCAGATTGTCAATGTTCAGAGCGTCAATGGATTTGGGCACTACATGACACACGGCGATCACAGTAAGACCCTGCTCAGGCGCCAGCCTTTGCGGTCCTGATTCCTGGACACATGTGACGTGCAAGACTGCCAACCCCGCAGCATCCATGATGGTTGAAAACTGATCCAGCGAATACAAGGCACACTAGCGGCCCATCTTTTCTAACAGACGGGTATATGTGATACAGCCCGGCACACGGTAAAGAGGCCCTCCCTCAGCACCAATTCTCCAGCAGCTCTCATACCAGTCTGCCCCAAAGACCATTACCACAGCCTCGGTCCTACATTCTATGAAGGGCTGTCGATGTGCAGAACACCAGGGCACGCATGGCTGAAGCAAATACTGCCAACCTCATCATGCCGGCAGCTCTACAGTGCCCTAGCCGCTCCAGACCTTTTCCGGCATAGATATCCATTACCAGAATCCTTGGGCGGGCGGGCAACCCGTCCGCTTATTCAAGCTCCATTCTCTTTGAGACAGATTCTTGCACTGGCTTGCCTCTTCCAGATGGAACAGGCCTCTTTTGTCTCAACCTTCTCAGCCGAGAGGTACATTCCAACTTCTATGAATCCTCAGAACGAGGCGCAAAAATCGACCTGCCACCACCGACAACCTGAGCAGCAAAACAGCCAGCAGCTTAGAGAAGAGACTGGCAAACCCCTGGAGACGAGAGCGTCGAGCTGCCTCACCTTGAGCAGGCCCTGAGGCGGCGTCCTTGCACAAACTCTGCTTGCAAAAGAGGAAGGAGAAGGGCGCGTTGGGGAAACTTGACGTTGTTCCTTGCGGGCTAGCGTTACGTCCCGTAGCAAAATCATCAATCCGAACCGTAGACTATTGAAGTCTATGTTCGAGTGTAACGCTATCGAATCGCGACACCACATCGGTCTTCTCAAAGGAGGCGGACAGCAGCTGTCCCTTCCTCTTTCACCTTCTGCTTGCTGGAGTGCGTGGGGCGCATCAGGCAGCCACCATGGTAAGTCCGAGCGGCCCAGATTGTTTCCACCCCCAATGGGCGTGTTTGGTCCCCTAGTGTTGCCATCTTCGAATATGTAGGAGGTGTTGATGTGACGCGCGATCAAGACATTCGTCTGCCCCTTATCAAGGAGCCCGACTAAGAGCCTTGGGCAGGGGCATTACGAGGGCTCCTGGTTCTGAGTAGATTGAAGGATGAGGCTAAGCAATTTTCTGAAAGGGCGCCTCTTGGTTGGCAGAAGTTCATTTTGTGACCCTGAGAGATGCAGCGGGGTTTTCGCTGCTCCTGGCAGTCTTGCATCTGCTCCTCAATCCAGGTTTTGTGCACACTGTCTTACGTGGAAGCATTAGGTGTCCGAGAGATGGTCCCATGTATTGAGGCTGCTGGTAATGGTTGTTGTTGGGCCATTTTGATCCAGGTTGTATCCACTGATGCCTTTTGCTGGTATGTAGTCTCTAAATGCACAGACAATTTTCCTTGCTGGATGCTGGTTAGCTTCCCGGCATTCGCCCCACAACAAGTCTGTCCTTTCAAGGAGCATTTGGAACCTTGCAAGCAGAGAAAGGGGCTTTGCGGGGCTGGAATAGCCAGGGCGGTAATGATAGTGGTTCTTGTACTGTTCACATCAATCATGAGGAGAGGCTTCAACCAGAGACGGCACCTGGACTGCTCGATACATCACACTTGTGGGGCTGCGGACTGGAACAGCCAAAGCTTTGGCAGGCAGTGACTTTGCAGAGCGATACGGGAAGAGTTATGCTATCATGCCGGGTTTTGTTGCTGGCAACCTGGGGCACCATAAGTGTAGCATGGTTCAGTAATAAGACGAGAGACAGAGCAGGAGACACCAAAGAGAGGGCCATACTGGCCCTTTCAAGCCAGAAAGAATCAGCATTTTTAGATGTGCATGGTGACACGTCATTGATGCCTAGTCTTTGCTCTGACAGGGTAAGGCCGGGAAGGGTACCGGGTCGTTCGGAAAGCGCAACGACAAGTCGCACACCCTGTGCCGGCGGTGCGGGAGGAGGAGTTTCCACATCCAGAAGACCACCTGCTCGAGCTGCGGTTACCCGTCCAAGAGGATCCGCACATGTGAGTGTCCGCTTTAAGGTGTTTGAAAGGAGCCCCCCATCACTTCTCAAACAGGTCCGCGGAATTCTGAGTCGATAGTTTGTGATGGTGTGGCAGTGGGCTGCATCAGAGGGTGCGCTGGCCTGTGTGGCGATAGCGGAATGTTGGCCGCAGTTGAGAGGCAAATCTTATCTTGGGGCAGCGCAAGTCAGAAGTATCGAGCAGCAAGTTGTCGTTCGAGTTTCCTGCCGCGATTTGGGAGGAGATTGGGGACGATCTGGTGCGGAATCCGCATGCAATTGCGGCGGCTTGTTTAGTCATATGTTGAACAGTTGCCTGGAAGTCATATCCAGTGCAAGCTGGAAGTTTCCCCACCATATGAATCACCTGTAGATTGACAGGGCCTTCCGTGTTGGTACAGAGGTAGCGCATGACTTTGACTTCTGCTTGGATTCCATGTACGTGTCTTGCAGACGGGCGTTGCACGACTGAGTTTACAAAGTCGAATCTTGCCTCTTGAGTGTCCACTAGCCTCCAACTTCTGCATGCCGATATTCTTCTGGTAAGGTCGGACCTTCAACGTGCGTTGAGTGGCACATCATAGGCAAGCCAGGGCTTCCAAAGCTCAACACTTGCTGTTGGATTGTATGCAGATCAATGGAGTCAGAAGGCCATCCGCAGGAAGACCACTGGGACCGGCAGGATGCGACACCTTAAGACCATCGGCAGGAAGTTCAAGAACGGCTTCCGCGAGGGTGAGAATTTTTGACCCTCTAAATCGTTTGGCACATTGTGTTATGAACAGCGACAAACATTCCCTCGAGGGGAAGCCCGCTCATGGTCTCGGGCCTTGCTCTCGTAGTTGGTCTAAGGAGAAATTAGTCAGATTCCTTGTGTTATTACCTGACGTGGCAAGCTTTCATTGGCTGAGTGTCACTTCGTTCCGTTCTTGTCCGTTCAAGATGCCCCACTTCTTACGCAACAAGGGCGAGCTACCAAGTCGTTTTGCTCAACAAGTTCCCAATCGCTTTTACAGGAACCACCGCTGCTGCTAAGACCAAGAGCGCCACTGCTTATTGAGTGCGGCTAGTCGGACGCCTAAGATTGTAACCTATCCTTTAAATTGAAACACGCGCTTTGACGCCTGCCTCTCGATACGGCAAGACACTCGAACTGAAGTTCATTGCCTGGCAGTTCTCGAGCATACACATGTGGCATGGCTTGCTCCAAGGCGGGGTCAAGGCCCAGGTTCCTGTGGTGCCAGCTTCAAATGCAGCGTCCGGCGCTGTGATTAAAGACGGCCTATGAAGACGGTTTTCGTATGCCGGGACCCTGTGGTGTCAACAATGGGACCATGCTCAGTCTGCAATATCATGCCGGACCTGCTGAAGTTGCATTTCTTTAACCACTATGCAATGTGAACCTAAACATATACATACAATGTGACGGTCAGAGAGCAAAAGATATGGACAGTTCCTATAGGGTTCTGGCAAGTATTATATACCGCACAACCTTGCACAACCCCATACGTAACTGGCGGCCGTCGCTGAGTCTTTTGTCGAAACTGGGCAGACGTGCACATGCCAGGGGCCATAACCATGGGCACGCTATAGCGGCGCTTGGCTGCTAGACACTCTTCGGACGCAGGATCGCAACTAACCGTTCAAACCGTCTGCATATAAGTGCATACCCAGACCATCATTGGTCCCCACATATGTGGCTCATGCATGCGCGGCCTGGCCAACCATGGCATCATTAAGACGCACCACCACAGACCATGGGTCGGATATTATGGTTCCGAGACGGTCAGTTAGTCCTTCTGCTGAAGTGTGTATTTATGTCACCTACGTGCTTGAACTTTTGGAGACATCGCATGTAAGTGTCGATCTGGCACATCGTGGATGTCGGTTTGGTCAGCACCGAAAAGACTCCGCTATCGATGAAGATCAGGCAGAAGCTGGCTACCGCTCAAGTTGCCACGGGGCATCCTGGCTGCTCCCGGGCCTCCTCAGTTCAACGGTTCTTGTAAACCCTCAAAAAAAGCAGCCGCAAGCCCGGCCACTTGCCGAGATGGCTTCAATCGAGAGACCAAGGCCACAGCTGTTTCCACTCTTCAGCCTACGTTTGTACTGGTATACATTCCCGCAATTGCTACTCCTAATTTCTAACCCTCTTCATATCACGAGCGAGCTTGTACATACCGTTGTAAGACAATCCTCAACCTCCTGAACACTGTTGGTTCCTCCCGGAGTCCTACTTCGTTGGCCAGGAAGACTGTTTAGCCTACGTGGTCCTCAACTTACATTTTTAGCCTATGTGTCTATACAGCGCGTAAGCCAAGCTAGTAGTCCCCAAGGTCGTGCCACTCTGCGAGCGTCGTTTCGTCCATGTCGCGCTTTTTGTACAGCGGGTTAACGGCGGGCATCAGGGGCTCGTAGATGTCCTGCCGGGTGACGATGCCAATCACCTTCTCGTTCTTGTCGACGACAGGCAGACGGTGAACCTGCACAGATCATGGTCGATGCGCACAATTGAAAAACGAACAACTACCGACTCGATAACAGTTTTGGCGCAGACTTGACTGGGTGGACAAAGTGGATGGGACACGTCCAAGCCGGTAAAGAGAGTGACCTTCAATTTTAGCGAGACGGCTGTGAAGGGCGAGAAAGTTGCCAAGGCGAGACAATTATTGCAGAAAGACCAGTGCAGCTTCTGATAACACTTGGAGAGAAAAGCGACAGAATGATCACTTCATAAGAAGCAGTCGAGGAAGACTTGCAAGTAGAAGAATGAAAGCAGACGGTGCATGCCAATCCGTACATGCAACGAGAGAGGGATGGATCGATCGTTGGGCTGCCGTGTCTCGTCACACAAAGCGACCACGTGCTTCATCTTTGTGCACATACTCCTCAGCTCCTCACGGTTGTGAAAGAGACAGCGAACCTATTTTGAGTTGAAGCCATACCTTATGGTTCAGCATCAACCCGGCAGCGTACGCAACTGCCGCCTTCTTCCGGATGGTGATGGCGGGCTTCGTCATACAGTCCCTGCATGAGTCCGAGCCTCTTGGAGATTGCTTAAGGTCATGCATGGCCCCCTCAGTGCTCGCACCCTCAGTGCTACCGCTAAAGTCAATTGTAATCACTGTCTTCGTGATGACGCTGATTTTGGCGGCTGACGTCAGCGCGAGTTTTGAGAAGAGCAAGTCGATGTCCACACAAGGGACACTACGACGATGCGAACGACAGCCACCAAAATGGTAAGCATATCTTTGAAGGGGAGAAAAACAAAACTGGACTGACGACCGACCCACTGTAATGCACTCAAGTTTAAGAACGTGGTGATTAGTCGGTTGCTGACTGATAGACCAGGTGGACTAAAACATGTGTGAGATAGAATGTCGATTCCGAACAAGAAGTTCGATGCTTACACGATTGGGCAATGACCTTACCCAAGTTTATTTTGCAAGACCGCTTCAGCTTCGGCGTCTGACGTTGGATTCTGCTCTTTGATGAAGCGAACCAGGTCCTGCAGATCATTGAAATAGAGTTCAGGCCATGATTTCCAGAGTCCAAGAAAGAGCCGCAAAAATGAGGACAAGAAAAGCGTCCCCTCCCCTCCAAGGAGAAAAAGACGTCAGAACGCTTGGGTACTGTTTTATTATGGACACCAATAATCCTTTTTCGAGAGGCAAATGAGGCCGTCTTTCTGGGATTCAAAATGGAGAAGCACCACAATGAAAGCAATAAAAGCCGGCTCTGCTTTATGGCGACCTCGGAACTTAAAAAACAAGTGGCGGGTGGTAGGATCTAAGGACCAGCAAACACAGTTCATCGTCCCTAGTGCAAGAAAAAACAAAGCGAATGAAGTTTCATAGAGGCAAAAAAAGCTCGCCCAGTAAAAGCCTCCTGTCTCAACTTCGTGGCAGTCAGCGTACAGTTGATTGCACCTGATGAAGCGGCTTCACTCTGTCACTAAGATGCAATTCACAAATCGACGTAGGAGTTACTCATAACATTCACGAATGAAAAGACTCGGTGCTACAGGCACGCAAAGGAGTACACTTACCTTGTCAGATATCACCCCAACGCACTTCCCCTCCTCATCCACCACTACAAGGACCAAGACGCTCGTCAGTACGACAAAGAAAACTATCAGAGCGCTCTATTTGTCAAGCGTATCCAGACTGCTTCAATGAGACAAATTTTAGAAAAGCACGTCAACGGAAGCTGATTCCTTAGAGTCTGCTTCTGCAGCAAGCATGTGCACAAGGTTCGCTTTCATTATCTGAAGAACTTGACAGGATTTACTGTGTAAAACCCTCACCTGGAAGACCGGTATACTTTTCGAGATACTCCAAGATGCTTTCGAGCGTGTCTTCCTCCTGGACATGGAAGAGATGAGTGTGAAAGCCATACTATCCAACAAATGACTTCCAGATGATGACTTCCGGAAAGGGTGCAAGCAAGAACCCGGTGTAGAGCAGTCTCTCAACGAACCTCCAACCTTTCGGACTCTGGTTCGGGCGAAGAAAGAACAAACGACTGAGAGGAACTTATCAAGAACCGAGGATGAAGAGACATGTCCAGGATGAAGAGACAAAACAGAAGTGCTGACCTTGTGCGAAGCCTCCAAACACAATCAGAGAGAACCTATACACAGCGTGTGAAACCAATGTATTCCTGGAGTAAAAAGGCCCACTCACCCGAACACAAACCACGTTCTCTGACATGACGTCCTCAATTGTCCCATAAGGATCCTCCTTGAGAATCTTTGACTTGTCTACAGCCCTCCTATCAACGTCCTTACTCTTTGCAGCATGACACGTTTGCAACATGCCTCTCCGGCCTGCGGTTCTTGAGATCATTCGGCAGCTCAGTGGAGGGTGAAAATGAAACCCGGTTAGTGGGACATGGGGGTGCGTCTGTAACGATGGATACCTTGATGAACACGCTAGGCTTTGCCTGTGCTTGCAATCTGCATTAGCTATGCGGTTGAGCTTACTGCCAAAGCTACAGATCGTGCTAGAACTGGTTGATGTAGTCAGTGCCATGGTGGGGCTCTCTACCTGGAGAAAGGAAAGCAAACAACTGGTCATCTGCGTACAACACCAGACTGCCAAGCCTGTGGAGTGACAAGCAGCTCACCGGCCTGAGAAGTGGTTTCTCAATGTACAAAGTTTAGACTAGAGTGAGTGGAAAACTTCAAAACTTCTGCCTATGTCTGATGAGGAAGTTGACTGGAAACTTTTCAGATGCCAAAGCTGTCCAGCTCGGGGGGTCCCAAAAGAAATTTACCTTCTTTATTGGAAATTTAGGCTGGAGCTTTCTCTATCTTGGCAGCTACTCAAACATAATCTTCACAATCCACAAGTACATGTGTCCCAAGCCATGCACAAAAAATCCAGACACACTCCACAAAGCCACCCCTGAGCTTGGTTGCCAATGGAACCGACCTCAAACACAAGCAGCAGTCTTGGTGTCATGCTTTTTCAACTTCTAGCAGCTGCCACTAGCTTTGAGGACCTTTAGGCGCCACCAAGTAAACCAGCTCTATGCTCCTCGATTTAGCTAGCAAGTTTATCTTGACCAGTCTGCGTCCTGGTCATTGTGGTTACCAACAGTAGACTGGCTAACAATGGAGCCTCTGAAAGTTCACCGTCTCTTTGGTAGTTACAGGTTCAGGGCTCAAACCACTGAAGAGTGAAGTTGCAGAGGGCGCCTTGTTTCTCCTCACGGTAGCACCAAAAGATGTTTGAGCTTCAAAACCGTCTTCACCGATCACAGCAAACCAGAAAGGCAATAAACCCAAGCATTGGGGCAACACTGACTTACAGAACATCTCAGAACACAATTGCAGCACGCAGAAAAAAGTCAACGCTTCTGTCACTTTAAGACCAAATACAGTGAATACAAATACGAAGCTTATTGCAGACTATGTATGCTTTCCTCACCACCACCACAACGTTATGTTGGAAGCGTCCTCAATGTCCACCAGAGCGTCCCTCCACCTGAAGCGGAGTACACAACACAACGAAACTGGCTTTAAAAGCGGTCTCAAAGCATGTTCCGCACGAGCTGAACCAGCGCCCCATGCAAAAGCGTGAACCTGCTGAACAATGAAAACATTGTGCAGCACAGATTGCCAGCAAGAAAGAAAAGTTGGCTCTGGTGATGTGTGCGTGATAGGGTGTTCGCACTTGCCGTTTTCCAAGTCAAAACCGAGCCTGATCGGGCTCGGTTCGGACATTTTGAGCCCGAGCCTGCTCGGTTTTGAATCGAGTTGACATCGAAACCGATCAGGCTCAATTTTCTCGGGCCCGAAGACCATGATCGAGTCGACGGTGCTCGGACGCGAAACTTCGGCGAAAGTAACCAATGCGAACGGTACGGGCCAAAACCGAGCCCGATCAGGCTCGGGTGGTCGGGTCCTTCAATTTTAGAAACTACAGTGCGAATACCCTATGAGCTGGCTCTCATGAGTCAAAATTAGGTTAGGTCAGGAGAGTCGGGTTCCAAACTGCTTCCCGGGATGATCAGAACCGGGAAGTCAAATTGTGTAGGTCCAATATTTTAGAGCCCTACTTGTTGGCCGGGTTTTTACCCCGATGCCTCTTCAGATGAGTAACCTGCAGTACCGCTTCACCGTCCGATGTTAACCCAATCGGGCCGGCCGGCCGCGCCGCGTTGGATTGAACTTCAATGGCGCGGCCGGGCGCCGGGTTGGATTGAACTTTGGCGCGGCGCCGCGCCAGTTGACCGTGCGCTGACGCGTGCGCCTGTCGGGGCGGCGCGAGTCTCAAATCCCACCCAACTCTTTCGGCCGTCGGATGAAGAGGGTTTAGCCGAGCGCCGTCGATAGGCGATTCTGCCGAACTGCACACAGAGTGCCCGGTTTGGCTCGGAATACCATAAGCTATGGGCCTCAGAGTCACTGAACTGAGCCTGGAAGGTTTGCTCTGGCACACTGCGTTTGCCAGGCTTGCAAAACGT